AGTTGTTTGTAAGGATAAAATGAGATAAACATCTAGCATAATGTCCAGCATACATTAAACACTCTGTAAATGGTGCCTGATAATAGTAGTGTGCTTGTAGCATGTAGCAGAAAAGTGGGTACTAAGTCACAGTGTTGTATTTAAGTCAACTGGGCAAACTTAGTAATGTTGGTTAAGTTCCCAGATCAGTTCACGCAGAAGCTTTTTTAAATTTTTTTTTTTTACTTTCTGAAGTCTGAGCCTCCTTGGTACCCTTAAGGAGGGTGGAGTGCAAAATTCCTGTTCCCTGTTTTCTGAGGGAAGAAAGAGTTGGGATCTGTGGAAATGGGAGGCATTCTAATGACACAATAACATAGAATTCCATGGAGAGGATTTGTCAATTTTGATAGGGGGTTTGGAGTAAGGCAAGTAAGGTAGGTCTGTATATGGTCAATTGTATATAATGTTTTCTAAATTGGGGACTGAATATATTCTCTCTACTATTAAGTTGCTGCATTATAAGGCAAACCAATGGTTTATTTATTTTTCAGATTAGAAAAGATGGTTATATTAATCAGAAACTAGGCTATAGATTCTGTAATGTCTTTGTAATGTAGATTATTGCTGAAACAGTCTTAAATTATTTAAATTATCCTATTATTATAAATTTTAATGAGATCACAGGAACAGGATCTCTACAATTGCAGTGTCCAATAATAGTTAGGCACATGTGGGTACTGAGCTCTGGAAATGGGGCTAGTTGGAATTGAGATATGCTTCAAGTGTACAATATACACTAGGTTTCAAAGACAAGGCAAAAAGAAGGCAAACTATCTTATTTATTTTTATATTGAAACAATGGTTTGGATGTATTTTGATAAGTAAAATGCTATCACTGAAGTTAATTTCAGCTGTTTCTTTTTACTTTTTTAATATGGCTGTTAGAAAATTTAAAGTACATATGTGGTTCACATTATGATTCTATTAGATAAAGCTGCTCTAAACCTTCACTTTTTAAATCGATAATTTTTTAAATTATGCACATTGTACTAAAAATTGAATATTTTTATGAAGCTTCCAATGAAAACCAGATGTCCCACCACCCCAGACTTACCTCTCCCTCCCAAAGGCAGATTGTATCAATTTTCTTACTCATTTTTTTTGGTCTGTCTAAATCTCCAAACAGGATGCTTGTATTGCTTCTTATTATTTTTCAGTTTTAGGTATTGTCCAGTAACTTCCTAGTAGGAAAGGTGAAATTTTAGTTTCATCCTTTACCCCATGAGCACAAGCTTTCTGTTCATCCATATTCCCGATATGATTATATCATAATTTTGCCTGTATCAAGATTCATTATTTACATTATTATGACACTAATCAAAACTGAAACATGTAGTACATTATGATTACCTTTTCTTTCTAGCTCAGCATCTTTTTCTCCCGGTTTTTATTTCCTTAGTTTTACATGAATTGATTGATTGATCACTGATTAAACTCTTGAGCCCTCACAGTTAGAAACACATTAGGGTAGTCTATCAATTAATTTTAGTTTCTTGAAGAAATGTCTGGAGCTCTGTCTTCTCCAGTGAGAACTGGCTGCATCATTGTCGTCTTGGGCGCTCCCATCATTAATTTGGGGATTTCTTTCACCAAACATGGAATATAAGCAACAGAAAATGTAATATCTGAGCAATCATTTGGCTGAGTTTGAAAGTTAGTTTTGCTCAGAATTTTGAATTTATTGTACTTATTTTTTTCTAACTTCTGTTGTTTTTAAGGAGCTTCTTAGTAATTTTGTCATTTTTTTAAGAGGGACATTTTGAGCATAGTGTTCTGAAATTTTTGGTGTACTCCTTGGTGTAGGTCTTTTTTTATCCTTTGACAAACCATTAATCTTTTTAAATCTGGGAATTCATGTTTTCTAGTTCTGGGAAATTCTTTGCATTGTTTCTTCAACTCTTTTTTATTTTTTACCTATACTCTATTTCTGAAGGTTTTATTTATCAGGTGTTGGACCTCCTAGACCGGTTCCTCTCTAATATTCTTATCTATTCTTCCCTACTTTTCATCTTTGTCTTTTTGCTTCTCTTTCCAGGCATTTTCTATAATTTATCACCTTATCTTCTCATCCCTCTATTGACTTTCCAGGTATTTTATATGGAATTTGTAAAAGTTCCTGTAGTTATTTGAACGTCTTTTTGTGTGTGTATATATCCTGTTTTTATTTTATGGATGCAGTATTTTCTTTATGTTGACATAGATGATAGGTTATTTTGAAGTTTTCTTTTCCCTATATGTTGTCCATATCAACCAAATTGCATTGCTCTTATTTTTTTCTCAATTTCTAGAGATGTTTTTCTCACATGTTTTGTGATCCTTGGCTATCTGCTTATATATATGATTGGAGCACTAGAAAACTAATTGGAGACTCTGTAGGGTAGAACATAGCAAGTGTTGCTTCTCTCAGGAGGTTTTGCCTAGAGAGTTTTCCTTGGGGGGGGGGGG